ACAGAAGAAGAAGGATTTTAAAGAATTTGCTATATTTCCCCTATTGGGCCCCGCCCCTCAGCCCCCAGGGGGCCAGACCCACCATTTATACAAACTTTGTTCCCCTTCCCCAAGGATGCTTCTGACCAAATATGGACCGAATCCTTTCATTCCTACAGAAGAAGAGGGATTTTAAAGAATAATTTGCTATATTTCCCCTATTGGGTCCCGCCCCTTCAGCCCCCAGGGGGGCCAGACCCACCATTTATACAAACTTTGTTCCTCTTCCCCCAAGGATGCTTTTGACCAAATATGGAACAAATCCTTTCATTCCAACAGAAGAAGAAGGATTTTAAAGAATTTGCTATATTTCCCCTATTTGGCCCCGCCCCTCAGGCCCCTGGGGGGGGCCAGACCCACCATTTATACAAAATTGGTTCTTCTTCACCCAAGGATGCTCCACACCAAATTTTGTTAAAATCCGCTTAGTGGTTCATGGCTAGTAGTGTAAAGTTGACGGACGACGGACGCTGCGGTATGGCATAAGCTCACCTTGGTCCTTCAAAGGGGGTCAGGGGAAAAGTATCTAAACAAACTTGATAGCAACAAGCTATCACTACAGGCTGAAAGTAATTATTGGAGGATTTTAAGTTATTTATTCATGATATTACAGTAGTTTAAACAAACAAAAGTATTACCATAGCAAGCTATATGCTTTATATTACTACTCTAGGCTTTGAGAACCTATTGAAAATAGTCGTTTTAGCTTCTTCGCAGATTTTACCCATGTCACCAAACAATATGTCATGACAATTAATTCGAGCAAACGTGAAAGCATTTAGCAATACTCTTGTACTCGTGGATTTTAAGACGATGTTTTAATTTGTTTAAAGCGATTGACACTACTAGTACAAGTCCGAATTATTCTGACCTACGTTGAAAGTGGGCCAGTGTCATTCACTCGATAACATTTGAAGCTGTTTTAACAATATCTGACTCATGTGATATGTAAAGTAGGTCAAGGTCATTTCTTTCGAAAATTATGCCGGACGTCATCCATGGAAGCCACTACTTATTTATAGCGACCCTATGCTCAATGGTTCATAAAAAGAGGTCGTTTAAAAAAAGACTGACAACAGACAGACGACGGACGTCTTGCTATCCCAAAAGTTCACAGGCACTTCATATTAGGTGTGCTTATAATAGCGGTTGGAGGGTAGAATGACCAGACTGTCTTTCATGCTGCCATGGCGGAAACAAAGAATACTTAAGTGAGAACAAATCCATAATCCGAATACATTTCATCTCCAGCACACTCGCAAGCATACACACGTAGGGAGATATTAGTCAGGTGGCATAGGACTAGTAGTTAGCGCCTGATAAGGCAGCTCCTGCGAATTCCTTTAGAGTGGCTTATGTTAGCTAGTTAGCTAGTTATGTTAACTTTTTTCAAATGTTGTATATTTATTAATTTATTTATTTCGATGAAATAAACTAGACTATACATACGACCGAAGAAATAATGTACATGTCCCTCAATTAAGATTGCGATCTCAACGGCTGCTCTATTTAACCGACCAGAGAGACGGGGGCTGTTGCTTCACTCCGTCATAATAGCTCAATGACCGATAGTTACCGTAGTCTGCCCTGGCAGGAGGCACGGGTCCCAGGGAAAGGGCGGTACAGTATACTGTGAAGTCTACTATAAGACAGGGCAGGAGTCATAAAATTGCCTTCCTTCGTTATTTATGTACCTTTCTTATGAAACAAATCAATAAACACAATGTATCCTATATACACTGGTATGTTCAATACATCACATTTATTTGCCAACAGCAAATCTTCCATCCGGGTGAGAAATTGTCACAGATAAGCGCAATCGGGAACCAGGGGTGAGAAATGGTGACATGAACTCCAGCAAATTTGGAACGATGTCTCGCCCGGATAAAAATACTGTGCTACATGTGAGAAACCGTGGACTGACAACACTCCTTCTTCCCTTCTAACATACACATGAGCAAAGTTCAATGGTAGCGTACACAGATCACGTTGTGTGACCTACCTTGTATGTTATAGTGGGAGACTCGGTAATCACAAAGCACACGGCCCTCTGTATAGGTTGACCAAGGTCAGTGATTAGCGATAACCACACGTACTTGCCACTAGCCACACTGTTTACCATCCGCACTTATATGATGGAATACTGTAGATTATTGAAATATTGAGCGAGACATATTTTCACGTAAATTCGCGATAACCACGCATAACGTAAGATTAACGTTTCAAATGAAATGCTCCTTGCGAAAAAGCGAAGGTAATGTCGTGAAGTTCAGTTTGTGCGAACTATAGGTAAACACAGTATCTATTGAATTAACGACACAATGAAAGCACTTTCATCTTAATAATTTATCAAGTGCATTCTCTAATCTTTTAAATTTTGTAAACGTAATTTTACACCCCACCGCATACCCCACCGCTTTATAGCGCATGTTGAAAAGTCGTTCTGACGTTTTATCTTTAATTGAATTTAATTGAAAAATAATGGACGCAGGCTGAAAGCCTCTAAGTCCATATCACAAAACATAGTATAAAAATATTATCGACTTTTTTTTATATCGGTCTGTCGTCGCAATTAACGTCAGAAATCCGGCCCTCTATGATATGCGGGAAATAAGCGACCCGCGCCTGGGTCGCTCTTCAAATTGATATTTTAGAAACAAATCGTCACTTTCACACACATGTCACACATGGATCGAAACTGCCAACCGAAAATAAAAACAGGAAACTATGAATGTTAACTGGAAGCATTAACCAAACATGACGTCATAAAATGTTAATACAACCAACTCCGCCAACACGTGGGCAATCACAATGTTAATACAAACAGTATGACCCTTACACTGGTCGACCAAATGCGGTACTACAGCTTACAACTCAAATTATTCAATATAATACTTAAACCTACCTTTTCCTGGCATCTTTGTATATTTATGCTCGTCTCGGTTAGATATACAGAGAGTTTCCGTAGATGCTTGCTTGGCTTGCAGTGATTGTAGATTGTACACAAACGCACACGTACATCAACCTATAACAAGGTCAGTGACTTGTGATATATAGATTACGTCCGCGAAGCGCTCTTGTTTGTTTTTCGATACGATAAGTGTGTCACTTAAAACCTAAACACAAAATTAACAGCTTCACCTCAGTAAGATATGAAACCACACGTTTCACACTGCCCAAGCGTCAAATAAGTTGCTGTTTACTTCAATGTATGCTGACAAAAAGTAGGGCAGGCACACACCCAACACGTGTCGCAGGCTGAGCTCTATCTCAATTCGCCCTGTTACGGGTATAATACGCTAGTACATGCAGGAATATGTGTTTCATTACACACATGCGTAACGAATATGGACTGGTACATTACTAGCAGCATGTTAAATAGAGAAAAATCGTGTTTTGTGGTTCACTGAGTTATGTAGAACTTAACCCGGGAAATAATCCGAGAACTTACAGATAAAATATCGGTCATCACATATAATTATGACCCACTTGACCAGAGACGCACGTATACGTCTCTGGCTTGATTACCGTAGCCAAGTAGCCATAATAAGACTTGGATGTCCACCTAGTATATGATAGAGACTGGACGCTCAAATAAGTTACTAGAATATACATTTTGATTTAAACATATTTTTATTTGCATCTAATATACAAAAGGGATTGGGCACAAGTTGTCCAACTTATGTAAAGCCCTTTCCCAATTTATATATATACAAACAAAAAATCAATTAAGTTTAATGTTACATAGGGAGGGAGAANAGGTCATAGCTTGAAGATATTTAATGTGAGATCGTGGTAGTGATCTTCTCCGACACAGGCGGCACCAGTAACACTGTCCACTATTCAAAACACTCTGCTTTTCTAATGTTCATCACTTTCCGTGCCTCTGTTGCCTTCTCCTTGTAAATTCCATTCCTTCTGGTATTTTCGTTTCACTAGTGCCGTTTGTATCGGGGAAGATCAGAAACACGACTCTTCAACATTTAAGATAAAAATGATTGTCGACTAATAAATTACCAACATAATATTAATACCCAAGATTGTACAATTTCTGTAGAAAAGTGGAGGTTGGGGTTGTGTGTGTGTGTGTGTGTGTGTGTGTGTGTGTGGCGGGGGGTATTAATATCTATGTGAATCTAGAATATATTGCCGAGTGTGTTGAAATATTATTTCATTTTCCTGTATTCCTAATTCCAAACTACCAAAAAGTATCAGCTGCAGGTCCAGAATGAAATAGTTTAGTTCACGTTATAATTTAATTCTTTGTTCTGCATGATTGTTACAAGCAAAAATGAAATGGTAAGTATCTGTCGGAAATTTATTGAATTTATTAAATGTGCATGGAATATGTCATTATTTAAGGTACTAGCTCGTTCTTAATCTGGTATATAAAATATTAAGTTTCTATCGCCAATCAGATAATAATTTGGAACATGTAAATTTTGAAGATTTAGGAGAGAATTCTTAAACGCTGTATGTGAATATACATGCCTCATATACTAACTACCCCTCCCTTTCGACCTTTGACCTCCTTTTTTTTGACTGTTCAATGTCAATAAAATATGTTTGAATAAATGAAATAGGTTACTTCTCTTTAGTGTAATAGCAAAAGTATCTTTTTCCAAATCACCAGATTTTTGACGCGCAGCGCAACACCAGACTTAGACATTTTGACATATAGATGTACACCAGACATCTATATGATAAAATGTCTTCGTCTGGTGTTAGGACCAGCTCGGCCTACTGTATGCGCTGCGCGTCAAAAATCTTTGGAGATGTGTGGTTGGCACAATGTACGTGTACCAAATGAGAAATATTTTTTTATTATTATATATTCAGGAAATGAGAAACATATTCGAGACATCTTCAAAACGTTTGTTGTATAAACACATTGTTGACCGTTTTGATCTACAATCCAAGCAGGCACATATACGTTGCATAAACGTTTATTCAACGTTGAAGCTAAACGTTGTTTAAACGTTTAATTTATATTTGATTGTGAAAGTTGAAACAACGTACCAAAATTCAACGATGAAGTTCGACGTTAAATAAACGTTGATTTGTGCATCACCATTCAACCTTCTTTCGGACCATTTAACTGGTAGCATAGCCCGAGTTTCCTCGGGCCCCTACACCAGACTTAGACGTTTTGACAGGTAGATGTCTGGTAAGGAACATCTATCTGTCAAAACGTCTTGGTCCGACTGTCAGAGCAAGATGAAATTCGGGCAACTGGTAACATAAAATAACAAAGAAACAGATAACAGCACACTGTAACATTTTATTTCTCTAAACAACCTAATCAGCAGCTTGTGGCCTATCTTCGGGGTATACATCAAGTTTTGGGATATCTAACTCTTGGAATGCAGCACCTACATACAAGTGGCAGTTGAACAGCTTCTGCAAAAGATGTAAATTATATTATTATTATTACTATTATATAAATTAATTACAATGACCACTGGTCAAATATTTTCCACATCATTTATTCTTATAAAAACGTATTTAAAATAGATAAATAGACAAATACATTTTAATAAGAAAAATGTTATCGCAATAAAACGATTTTATAGAAGTACCTCCAACTCCCTTCTATAAGGTCTTTCATAAATAAGAACATATAAAGAAAGTGACTAAGTCTACATTCTTTGTGTGCATTTCAACACGTGGTTGCAAATCTTGCTAACGGGTGCGTGACCCAGCTCACTCTCCGTTTGTCTGGGCAACCTAATAAACATTTTGCTTCAGATATATGTCATATTAAACTGCTTTTAAATGCTGATTCATGTTCGTATTGCAAGTGTGAATCGGCCTTTCAATATTGGGACCTCCAGGTTTTAAATTCGAATCAGATTTGAAATTACTTCAAACTCAGAAAGTCCGGGGGCACTATATCACAAAGCTGAATAATCTAGACATCCTATTTCACTTACCTTTTACTGTAATGCAGCGCTTCATTGCAGTCATCTGCAGTTGCATGTTAGGTTAGTCCCCCAGTAGATAATGCGTGTGATGTTACGATACTTTCGATTTTTTTTACCTATGACAATGATAATGGTGATGTTTCTATATAAAATAACAAAAAATGAAATACAAGATATCATTAACAATTTAAAACAGGTCGTTGAATCGACGTTGATTCAACGTTGAGATTCAGCAATGTCGATAAGGTTGATAAAAATCAAATATAAAATAACAAAAAATGAAATACAAGATATCATTAACAATTGAAAACAAGTCGTTGAATCGACGTTGATTTAACGTTGAGATTCAGCATTGTCGATAAGGTTGATAAAAATCAAATTAATCAACGTTGTTTAAACGTCATATTACAACAAAATTTCAACGTTGAAAAAATAACATTGAATCGACGTTGATTCAACGTTTATCAACGTCACGACCAAATAACACATTTCAACGTCAAATAAACGTTGTGTGCCTGCTGGGATGGTATTTTACAAAACCGCTATTTAGAAGAGAGAAAAAATGTATTCTTGCGAAATATAGATTGCAAGCACATAACTATAACATAGAGACAGGTAGATATAATGCAGTGTCTCGAAACCAGAGATTGTGTACTTTATGTGATCTTGAAGATGTCGAGGATGAGTTTCATTTCATTCTTATTTGTCCTGTTTTTTTAGAATTAAGAGTATCTTAAATCAAAGCCGTATTATCGGATTCGTCCTTCTGTGTTTAAATTAATAGAGCTACTGTCTAGCAAAACTGTTTAAACTTATTATTGGACTTGAACAAACATACAAAATATTGATGCAATGTCCTTCACAAAAGAAAATGTTCAACATTTTGAGATTACGTAATAGTTAATCCCTTTATCTTGACACAGAATTGAATGTTTTTTATGTTTACCTTTAGGACAAAGGTAATATGTGTTCCAGGTTACTTGTCTGAAAAATAGGGTACATCGGTAGGAAAATGATTAATTGTATTGTAATACTTAATTTTTATTTTCATGGATCAATTTTATGCTTTACATCAAATTTCACAGTGCATTTACACACATTACAACGGCTATTGATTTTTCGATTTAAGAATATGGTCAGACTCCCAGAACTGGAAAAAAAAAAAAAATTAACGAGTGGCTATTAACTTTGCCTGGCTAATATATTAATGTTAGACACAAGTAGGTGATAAAAAAAGTTAAGAGTCGACAGTAAAGTCTAGGGAAGGTTGGATACCTGAAACACCCATAGTTTTGGCCGTATAATGTCAAGGTTTTTGTGCCGCTGGCAAGTGGGAACAGTAAACGAAGATTTTAAAAATAAGAAGCTCTAATTGAAACCATAGTATTCCTTCTTTTATGGTATGCTCGGAGCTATGGCGTTTGCTTTAACATGTAACTGGCGCTGCCAAGTCCAAAATTTGCTTATGACTTTTGGTGATTACAGTAGCAGTAGAAAAGGATAGCGTCTTTCACAATGGCGTGAAGGAAATTTCTTCAAAAGCGTAACGAATGTGAAACATATCAAAATGGTTTTTTTGTGAATATAATGTTTTCATATAATATTTTACGTTACAGTATCATTTCACCGAGTTTATCCCTGATGTTTTCACACAGACTTATTTTAAAATTTTGATATTCCTCGTGACCATTTTTATAAGAAATTTCTCTTGAATAGAATAATGTTATCAACTTATCAGTCATACTGCCCATCTTCAATTTCGTATTTCTTGTACAGAATAGATACAGACCAGAATTTTATCATATATCTTGTATAGGGTGACGTATACCTATAGAATACGTATATTCTATTTCATGGTGTTGCCTATGACAACAAGGCTAAAAGCTGATAACAACGCCAGCGCCAAAAACCGAAGCTTATACGAATATATTGGGGCATATTCCCCAGGTAATCCTAGGAATGAAGGTAAGAACCTGGGTCTTTCTGTAACTACGTTTATTTATTTACTCATGTTAAATAATATAGATTATTTTATGATTTATTATTGCATTTTTGTATATATGAATCGGAGTTACATCATCTCTACGCCCGGATCCCTGGTTGTGTCCACTGTTCACATACCACATAAGGTGCAAAACAGGTACATAACGATAGACTGAACAAGCATGACTTATTTCTATGGCAAGCCTAATTAACATTTATTTAAAATAAGGAATAATTCATACAAGTTATAATAAGGTGGAGGAAAGCACCTGGGGAAGAAGAGTCTGCAGCGCCCTTGCTTTCAAAGTTCAGGAGGGTATATCCGACCGATGTGGTCTATATATTTCTTGCTATTTAAAGACAGT